TGTTTTTTTTTTCGTTTTCTTTTTCTTTTTTATCCTGCTGCTTTGCTTTTTTATTCTTCCCTCACACCCCGCCGTTACCCTCCTTTACCTCTTCTCTCTCTCTCTCAACATCTTCCTTCTCTCTCCTCTCTCTCCGACTCTCTAAATTGTTCCTCTGTTCTTGAATCCCCCGTCCGCGTCATCACTGGTATTTCTTTATCTTCTTACTTCGATCTCCTCGTGCTCTAAGGATCGTCAAACTTGTTGCTTACATTTAAGGTATAATCTGCAGCTGACGTTTACCGACCATATCAAGTAAGTATTGTCCCTCCACACCGTTCGCGAAATCTTGCATCGGTTTGCTACATCCTTCATGGTTTTATTTTCTAAACGATCTGCCCTTTTCTCTTTTTCTTTGCCCTGCCTGATGTTGTTGTATTTTCTTGGTTTTGCGCAATATTTGGTCCACCCCAGAAACCACCACCGATCCGTACCAGTTGGGAGGTGACCATGGCTAGAGGGTTCCAACTATACCAGCCGGTTTGGGACGGTAGACGTTGGGACTCCAGATATCACCCGCGTTGGTATTCACGGTGGGAGTTTCCTAGCTCACATGAAACGGTTGTCTCTGGTGTTTTTGTTTGTTTTCTTTTCCTTTGATATGATTTATTTTTCCTTTGTCTTTTATCACGAAAGACACCCTGGTGGCAGTGCATTAGCTTCAGGTCTGAAGGAAACTCCCCACCTGTCTTCGCGGGTCCCGTCCTCCGGGTCCTCCAGTCTTACTCCGTTGCTTTGTTAAGCGCCCGTCCCCGTCCCCGTCACCTGACTTGGGCTTTCTCCTCTCCCGGAATTCAATGGTGTGAAGGCTGCCTTCGGTCCCAAGGTGTCGGAACACCCAATTGCAACCCTGGAAAGCCACCGCGCAGATCTCGTTCTCCATTCACTCGCCGTCATACTTTTCTAGCCATTCCTATCCTCTTTTCTTTCTTTTTCCTTTTCTCCTCTTTTCTCCCTCCCCATCCGTGTCGATGCCGGCCGATTACTACGATACTGACCACGCGCAGCGCGAGAGGTCTCGTTCACCCCGACGTCGTTCGCGCAGCCCTCGACGTAGCCGTCGCTCTTATTCGCCTCGGAGTCGCTCTCGGAGTCGTGACGATTATCGCCGCAGTGAACGCCGTTCCCGTTCGCCTATGAGTACTGCACCAGGCCCCTCTGGAGGACATTCGAGTTCTGGTTACGGCGGACGCAGCAGCTACCCGCCGCCTCCGAGATCGTTTGAGGACCGCGCTGTCGCCAAAGAACAAATGATGCAAGCAGTGCGCGAGTCTTCCCAACAAGACCGTCGGGTCTATGTGGGAAACCTTTCCTACGATGTCAAGTGGCATCACTTGAAAGACTTTATGAGACAGGGTGAGCAGGGTCATATTGTGTCGGATGTGTGATGCGCTTTTTGTTGGATTGGAATCCGTGGCTGACTTGGAGGGGGACTATCTTTCCGCGCCCTACAGCTGGTGAGGTCATCTTTGCCGACGTCTTATTACTTCCCAATGGAATGTCGAAGGTGGGCGCCAATGCGTAGTGTGGCTGGTTCCTTTTTCCCCTTTGTGTTTCTGGCTTTTTTTTCCATTTCCCCTTGTTGGTTCGTTTTGATGGACTGTTTGGGTTGACGGGCTGGGCCTGGCCGTCCGGGATACTGTAGGGATGCGGGTATGTTTCTACACGACGCCCCGTTATGTTCACCTCGAAGGCATTACTGATCGTTGAGTAGGATTGTGGAATACGCGACCAGGGAGCAAGCGCAAAATGCGGTCAACACGCTCAGCAACCAGAACCTTATGGGCCGTCTAGTCTACGTTCGCGAGGTATGTCGAGCCCTTCAATACCTCCCTAGCGGGCTCTCCCATATGCTGACAGGTCTCAGGACCGTGAACCCGAACCTCGTTTCACCGGTGGCCCTTCTCGTGGGGATTTCGGCGGCGGTGGCGGCGGCCGCGGCGGTTTTGGTGGTGGTTACGGTGGTGGAGCTGGCGGAAGACAGCTCTACGTGTCCAATGTTTGTTGCCCCCCTCCTCTTACCTTGGATGTAATGCGATATCACCCACGGCAGAGATATTGACTTAGGCGCGTTTAGCTTCCATTCAATGTTGGCTGGCAGGACCTGAAGGATCTTTTCCGCCAAGCAGGTAAGTGCAATACAGAGGCGTCCCTCCAAACAGCCTCGTTTGCAAACCTTCACTCCCATTCTGTATCCGGAATTTGAATCCGTGATTGACCCAAGAACACTTTACAGCTCAGCAAGGCGGCGTCGTCCGTGCCGATGTTCATACCGATGCTACCGGACGTCCCAAGGGCTCCGGCATTGTCGCCTTTGAATCTCCTGAGGATGCCCGTAATGCTATCCAACAGTTCAATGGCTACGACTGGCAGGGTCGGTCTTTGGAGGTTCGTGAGGATCGCTTTGCCGGTGCCGGACCGGGTGGATTTGGAGGCCGCGGTGGCTTCGGTGGTGGATTCGGTGGTCGCGGTGGCGGCTTCGGTGGTCGGGGCGGCTTCGG